GCTTCATCTTGAAAAACAATTTATTTTGGTATTTGGGGAACTACAAGTACCAAGTAACACTCATAAAAAAAAATGTGTTACTGTTGCTAGTGACAGCAAACAGTAAACACTTACGAAAGAGTCATAGAGGTCCCATCCACCCACTTCCAAGAACCTTCAGTTTCCTTGTCGTTCAAACCAATCCAAGGTTCTTGGTTTGCAAGACTGGAAATAAAGTCCTGTCAAATATCAGCATACAAAAGTTACATTAGTGGATAACTAGGCCGAAAATAGTTACCATGTTAATGTGCATGAACAATACACTACTGAATATACAGATCACTGGTATTTTCTACTATCTGGTTGCATACATTCATGGATTTTCATCTGTATTTAAGCTGAGGGAGGAAGCTGGAGTACCCAGAGAAATTCTGTGCATACATGGTGATTCCAACCCCAAAGAAGAAAGAAGATTGAGGCAAGAGGATTGTTTTACTGCAAGAAGGTTTGGGATCCACACCACAATGCTAACTACCAGCATCTCAAATGCTTAACTCCCTACTGATGAGTAGCCTAAAGCTCCATGCACTACAGGCATAGAATTATCTGATCTGCAATCCCCTGCTTAATTCACTACTGAATACCCATTCAGGATCCCTGGATTCTACATCACAATCACCAAAACAACTTCTTGAGAGTTCATTGGCTCCCTCAGCATCAAGTCAATCATTTATGCACCAGAGCTTCTGTTTGTAGTCAAGATGTAACAATTAAAGTCTCATGTCATATCATCAACATTACAGTGTTGGCAGCAACAGTTAAACTCTGCTTTAGTCCTCCGCAGAAAAAGGCAAAACCATAAGTCATAAGTCCTCCACAGCTTTAATCTGTTCCAGCAACAGAGCCATAAGGGTAAGCCTGTGCCTTGTCTTGCTCATGTACTAAAGAGTTTGAATCTTGTTGGTGATGCTAGATCCAGACTCAGAGAGCCTTCTTACAAATTACACACAATTGCTTTCTGAAGAGATGTGTCTGGCCGCTTGGCCAGCCTCCATTGTTTCTTTATTATTCATAGTTGAACAAATAAGAATACAATTTAGTCAAACTTGTAAAGTTGTCAATTTGATCAGGAACAAGTCAATATACTTGTGCCTGTATTTGTATTTTCATCATTTCCGGTTTTGTGTGATACACTATAAATAAAGGACATAAGAGGTAAATTATTGTGTATTATTGATGTTACAATGAACACAGCACCTGTTCATCTTTATCGTTTATCACCACCAGATCTGCTCCTCTTGATATGCAATCCTGTCTTCCTTCATCCCACAAGCCGCTCTTTGTAGAGACAAAGTAACAGGAGAAACTGAACTTTGTCCATCCTGTAGGACATGTTTTCTCTAAAGAAAAAATATATAGTTTTACATTTTAAGTACATTTAAATAACATTTTTGTACCAAATGTATATATGAATTTACAAAAGGAGTTATGTTAACATTTTGTTTTGTGATCGGATCCTTCTACCTAAAACTTTGGAAGAATCAGAAACACAGACTGAACTGCGATTATAAAACCTGGGGTTGCAGCCCAATTATTTTTTTTTCCTAAAATCTTTACACATTTCCTTTAAAAAAAAAAAAAAACAAGACACAGGAAGTTGAGCTTACCAGCAACCCTAAATATCTATGAATTTCATGGACCTTTATCAGTATTTGTTGCATTTTTTGACAAACCTCGAGGCCTGTTCAACTTTTTCATCATTTCAGTGAGGTTAGCATGCAGCAGGTTTCGTTCTTCAGTCATAGAGTAAAGCTTGCTGTTGCTTTCCTGGACACAGTCAGTAAGATTGTCATTGATGTTAGAGAGACCTGCTGCCAAGTCCCAAGCTGAAATAAATCAATTACATGTTTTAAAAAGAAAAATAACATATATTTTCATGTGGCTAATTCAGGTCTCAGAATTTAAAAATTATTTCACAATGAAGGAGAATATATAAATATTTTTGAAAGTGAGGACAATAATACAATTTTGATGAAAACCGCATGAAAGCTCCTTGAATTGTCAACAAAGAAGTATTGTTTCTGTAATGTAAAACATGCCAGACAGGCTTAGACCGAACATCAGCGAAATCATGCAACATACAGCATATTTAACTATGACCAACATCTCCAAGACCTTGCAAATCTTGGAGCCACAAAGATTTGTGTATTTATACCAGTTTTTACCTGAGCTATGCAACCTGTCGCTCTAGAACCGCAAGTGGCTCTTTTGATTGTGTACACTGTCTCATAATAGTGGCTGAAGATGAGCCAGCAAATTGTTGTTATATAGTTTGTTTCGTTAAAGTTTTTAAAAAAAAGTCACTGGACTCCAAGGTTTGAAGACGTTTCGCCACCTCTCCAGGAAGCTTTCTCAATTCAAATGTCTGGATCCACAGTGAGTTTGAGTTTATATATAGACAAGGCCTTGAATTGCTTGGAAACATGCACATGGAAACCGATGAGTGGGTCGTTTGGTTCCATTGTTAGCCTGTAATATCTGAAACCTGTCTATGATTCTGAAGGTCGGTCCAGACATTTGAATTGAGAAAGCTTCCTGGAGAGGTGGCGAAATGTCTTCAAATCTTGGAAACCAAGTCCAGTGGATTTTTTTTTACTCTTACAGAATGACTATGACCTGGATGACTGGGAATCTACATCAGTACAAATACCATACTTTAGAAGTTTAGCAGGTTTTTAAAGAACATTTCAACAATTTTTTCTTTTAACTGCATAAAAAAAGATCTAAATTATACTTTCAGATCTATATTTTTTGTCATTTGTCATCAGCTTGGAAACCATGTTTAATGTTTTGCATAAAACATGGAGACGGTCAGTAAGATTGTCACTGATGTTAGAGACATCTGCTGCTAAGTCCCAAGCTGAAATAAATCCATAAAGATGTCAAAGATAATTATGAACTTTATGACCAACTTCTTCAAGGCACTGCAAACCTTTGAATCACCAAGATTTTTTCTTTTATACCCAGTCAGTCAGTTTGATTATAGAATGGGCTGTTGCCATTTATCTTACAGTGAAAGATGCTTTACTCTGTTCATATTTAAGCCGACTAGAACAAGACTCACAGTGGAGACCAAGGACGATGAGTCCAACCAGCAGTATAACATTCAGGATTCCCAGAAATATAATAACAATCAGGAAGGGCCTTTTCTTGGAGCTGCTTGAACCTGAACAAACAAATAGATTAAATATTATCTGAATGCATTCTGTTCTAAAACGATCATAAAATGCATCATACATTTCTCTGTCCAATCATTCTTAACTTCGGTCTGAGACGTAGGAATTTGGCAAACAGGTTTCACATGTTCCACATTGGCATAAATTTCCTCCATCGCTTAATGCTACAAATTGGCTGGCTCTTTGAATCCTAACATCAAAATCTGCAGTGGTATTTAATCTCACCAATAGCTATGAGACTGCCTTTTCTTGAGGTTTGAAACAGGAAGCAACACATATCAAACAAGACTGAAAAAAAGAACTGTCACCACTTAGCTTTAACATGTTTGCTTAATTTACATAAATTAATAGTGTTTTTTTCAGTGCTTACTAGCAAAACCTGGAAACTCTTTTGACTATTACGTACAATTCATTTTCAGCTTCCTGAATAATTTTGCTTGTGCAGGATGCCCCTTGTTATCTCCAAACTCATTTTATCAGTGGTCTGTGTCAAATGCATGAAAAAGTAGATTTTTGTTGTGTAACTGCAGTTTAGTACAAAAAGGCACAGAATTAAGATTATCTTCTGCTCTTGTTTCCTTTCTGAGGTTGTGGTTGCATTTTTTGCACTTTTTTTTATTAATGTATTTTCCAACTACTTACAGATTTACAACAAAAAGGTTGCATATATGGCACTGTGTTTTTGTGTTACATATTTTATTCAGGCCAGTTTAAAGATACGTATGTTGGAAGATTTTTGTGATTTTTTTTTTTTTTTAAGACCCACCCTCTCCACTTATAAAAAAAAAGACAAATGCACAGCCCTGTACCTGCTCCCAGAGGAAACACCTATTAAACACATGTGAGAGCGTGCACGGGCCCATTTCTCCTTGTGCACGCTCTATTTAAAAGTTGCTGTTCTCATAGCTCATTCAAGCTTACTGTGTCCCAATGTCCGCTATAACCTCTAAAGCACTACATAGAGCGGGGACTATATAGTGGACTCCGTTAACTTACCGTTTGGAAAGATGATCACTACGTTTCGCTCCTCTTTGGGAACGTAGCTCCTTTTCCACTGCGGGGTGCCTGCGCCATCTTTGTAGCCTAGTAAACTAGACCCACCCGCCAGCAGCCGAAATCATTTTTGCCTTTGAGTTGGTCTTGCCTCAATCAATGCCCCAGGCCCTAAATCTGTCGGACCAATCACAACACAAAGATGTGTTTTGAATGTCTGGACGCAAAGTGGCCGGGGTTTTGAGGGCGTAACAACAAATCTCCATGACAAAGTAGCATGCACTGTGGCAGCAGCAGCTTTTAATGGAGCATTCCATTGAAAGTTACAAGTTTTCTTTCTGTTGCTGTTGTTCAATAAAAGTACGTTTTAAGATAATTTGAGGCGAGATATTATATGTTAAAGCAGGCATCCCTAAAGTTGGTCCTCAAGGGCTGCTGTCCTGCAGGTTTTAAAGGTTTCCCTGCTCCAGCAGAGCTGATTTACATTGATAGTTGATTAACAGGCTTTTGCTGAACTGCAATCATCAGAATCAGCTGTGCTAAAGCAGAGAAACCTCTAAAACCTGCAGGACAGCGGCCCTGGAGGACAAACTTTGGGAATGTCTGCTTTAAAGCGTCACTATATGGTCCATTTACCGTTTTAATGCGTAATCAAAAAAACAATTTCTGAAGTTGAGAGGACCGCGGCAACCAGCGGACCTCCGAAGCTAACGGCAGCACGTCTCCAGCGGCCCTCTCTCGGTATAGCCATGCGTGAAGGACCGCTGGCTCTGATGGCAATTTTTGGCTCAGCTTTGGAATCAGTTTTGGAAGGATTAGACTTGGGGTTTTCGTTGAAATGTGAGCAGGAAGAGGCTCCACGCTCATTCATTTTTAAGAAGGACGGATTCCCCGTTTTACCGACAGGCGGTATGTTTACACTCCCCCACCAACTTCCTGTCACGCTTACTACGTCACAGTCAGTTGCACTCATTGGTCAGAGCATTGGCCAATAGGCAATAGGTTTTAAAAACAACAGGTGTCATGAAGGGCTTTAAAGATCTCACGCACATGCAGAGATTCACTCAGAGAGCCAGGGGAAAAGTTAACAGGTTTATTGAGAGGTTGACAAAACAGAAAGAGAGATTATAAGCAGGGTTATCGCAGTGGGACTTCAGCGGTCTGGTGAACCCGAACCGGAAACTCTGAACGGGAGATCACAAAGATCAGTTCAAGGCCTGTAGGGAAAATGACTGAGACTGGTGAATTGCTGGAGAAGACTCACGTTAGGGGGATTCTTGGTTTCCCTTGGGTCCAGTTTGTGGGGGTTTAATCCAGAGATGGATGAACTCGTTGGAGGGCGGACAGGCACACTAGCGTTGGGTCCAGAGGAGCAATGGAAAGGACTGTCATCGGGTTTTCCTGAAGTGGGCTTGAACAGATCTGGTGAAGGTTTCCCCTTGCTCAGTGTGACTCTAATAATTCCTTCCAAGGGGGGTAGAAGGACCAGGCTTATCCAGTGGATCAGGAGGGCATCCTACCGAAGAACAAAAGACAAAGGCAAGGCTTAGACTCAGAGAGACAAGGCAAAGGTTAGACTCTGCTAATCTCAGTATGGCTAGAGTACCCAATACTGGCAAACACTCTGGCGTCGAGGTGGTGACAGCCTGCTGCTCAAGTACTCCTCTGGTAATGACCCAATGAGCCGCAGGTATGCAGGGAGGCCCAACGAGGACAGGGCACCATCTGGTGGTGGAGAGAGGAAAACACAAAAAACAACCCACACAAACTGGAACCCTAACAACGGCTTGTTCTCAACGGCTTGTTCTCATCAACAATCTCATTCATCGGGGCCAGACTATATAACACCTTTCATCTCCCATTTAGTCTGGTTTACCAGGCTACCGTCTTTGTTATTATGCACTGCTGTTGGGTAAGGACAGCCTAGAGCAGAGGTCACAGATTAGCGGACCCCGGTCCAGATCTGACCCACCTGCTGGCTAATACGGACCAAACCTGATTTAAAACATTAATAAAATATCGCATTTTGTCCGACGAGTGTCTAATTTTACTTGCGCCGCTTCTCCTGTTAATATGGTAAAGCCCTCCAGACTGTCCGGCACCAGGCTGCATGTGATACAAATTA